TCATGCATCCTGCTTTTCCACAGGAGAGACGGTAAATATCTCAGAGGGCTTTCAACTCTTTAAACGATCGTTTGAACGCGTAATTGCTATAACTGGATGCTGTAAGCATGGCGCGGCTTATGAATAGTAATTCGTGCATTATTATTAGCTTTGACTGCAACGATCTAATTACTATCAGTTTCCGATATCGTACTTATTAGTAATCATCCAACGCAGATTACAAATGCGAATTCCACAGATGAATGAAACAAAGAACAAAAAGTAAGAATAATGACCCATTGATCTCGCGATGCAAAAAGTTTGTATTTTTTTCTTAACAATAATTATATGTAGAATATCTGACAACTTTCTAAATCGTGTACAGCAAGTATTTTTTATATTTCATTAATTATTATTAAAAAAATTATTTATTTTAATTTGCAGACTTACTTTGAAGACTTCATGGAAATATCGCAAAAAAGATTAAATAATTGATTAATAAAAACTATTTCTGGAAATAGTCGTTCTATTAAAGTTTTTATATTCTTATGATGAATTATGTATCATTGCTAAAATAAGACAAAAATGAGCATTTCGTACTTAAAAAAAAAATCAATATTTTACATTGTAAGGATAATATTCTTTTTCTGCTTTTAAATCAAAGAATGATGTTCTTTTCATTCTGCATTTGGATACTTGGAGTCAGCCGTTAATCGAAGTCATGAGTAATGTCTGGAAAATTACCTAAACATCCAGGATAAGACCCGAAATATCTTAATACTTATCTGTAACTTCCAAAATATTCACAAGGGAGGGGGGGAGAGAGAGAGAGAAAGAGAGAGAGAGAGAGAGAGAGAGAGAGAGAGAGAGAGAGAGAGAGAGAGAGAGAGAGAGAAAGAGAGCGAGAGAGAATAAGCAACGAATTATTATTCATCTCAATTTAAATAGTTTTTTAAAATTGAATACAAGATTTGCGATATTACATTATTGCGGAATATTACAAGATTATAATAAATGATAACGTTTCTCGAAATTTCTTTCTAATTGACTATTCGTTAAAGCGAATTATTAAAGTAGAGTAGATTTTGTAATATGCTTTGATAATTTATCGATAAGGATATCCAATATTCACAAAGGAGGATTTCAACTTGTATACACATTTGCGCTTTCAATTTTGAAATTGTCAAAAATTCACATTGAATTTCATCTTATTTTCGTATCGTTTATAAGCATTATGTTATCTCCTCTCTCTCTCTATTTGAATTTCAAATTACCACAAAAGACATCTCGCCAAGAATTCCCAGTCGTGAGATCTATCCGAACATGCGGCAATAACAAGTAGTAGCTGCAATAAAAAAAAAATAGAGGGAAGGAACAGTCGCTCGAAGTTACTTTTTCGAATAGTAGCGATGAAACATTCTTTTCAGAAGTCGAATACAGAAACGTCGTCGGTCGCAAAAATTCAATAAAGACGGTGCTCGTAAAGCGAAGCAAAGAAAGAATTATCATACCAACGAGAATAATGCACGATGAAATGTGATGGTGAATTATAACGGAATATCATCATGTTCTTGGAATATTAAGAAAAAAATACTTTTTCTTTTTTCGTTGCGTTTTTACATATGTAAAATTGTGAGGATCTAACGATTTTCGCTACTATAATCTCGTGCCATTTCTTATCTCCAGAAATCTAACACTGGCAATTTACTGAAAGATAGTAATTAATTGCTTATTTTTAATATTAACAATACTATTATTTAATGTTTTTAGAACTCTAAATAAACAATTAATTATTGTCTTCCAGTAATGAATTAGCCATTAGATTTCTGTAAAAGATTGACTCATTATCAGTGTTTAGATAATTTACACATATTGATTTAGATTTAACATTATTTTCTTTAACATTATATTTTATTTACATTATTTATAGACGTAGAGTTTATATAAAAAAATATACGATTCAAATTTGATACAAACTACTTCGCTTTAAGTTATCTCGTTGAACACTAGTTCTTTGATTTTCTTTTATTTTAACTCCTGAAGTTGAAAGACTGTCCTCATAAGGTTATTGCAGCACAATGTCCCTTTATGATTTTCTCTTCCAGTAGCTGCATGTTACTCTTCTAGGACTCGCTTGAAAAGACAAAACACGCGGATGCACATTTCATGGATTCGATGCGCGACATGGAAGCGCGAGCCTAACTTAACAAAGAGTGCGGGCGTCGGAAGTGAAATGCAGCGCAATATAATGGTGCGCCAGACAAATGTCGATGTGCGAGCAACAAGTGCCGAGAGGGCCGTCTACTTCTGACAATGAGCAGGAAATCTGGCCGGCTCTCTACGGATACGTGTGCAAGTAGAGAGTGTAGGAGCGCGCGCTGGTCACAAAGAGGTATTGCAGTCACAATTAGCGATCACGCAAATTCAGGTCTCGTTCCATTCAGCGACAGCTGTACTTTATATGGAGTTTCCCAACACCGACATATCGCACGGCGACGAGTCGAAAGCACCGCGGAGCACGAGAGCGCTTTGTTGTGTAAGAAACGTAGTGGTATGAAGCGCGAATTGAATCAGTCATTCCGAACGAGCCCTGTCTTCACTAAAGTACGTTTTACAGCGAAGGTGGAAAAGCCGGTAAAATGAACGATAAAATACCATTTCGATAGCATAACGAAAGCGATCTGATGTTTGAAAGATAATGTTGGTCGTTTCGTGAAATATTTGTGTCTATCGATCTCAATAAGAAGAAATTGTTCAAACATAAATTTAAAATATTTAAGATTCCATAATAATATATATCGATTCGAATTGATGCTATTATCTCTTACTACATATTTCAGAAAGAATTTTAGAAAAACAATTTTATATTTCATATCGCTTATTTGCTACAAGTTTTTCAGAAAATAAAAATTTGAATATTTTGATTCATTAAAATTTTATAAAATTAATTTTTAAATGCAACTGTGATAACTGATTACAGAGGAATAAAATTATATTCTTTTAAAGTATATTTTTTAATTAACATTTTAATTTATTTTTTAATAATGTAATTTCAAAAATTACAATTATAATAGCAAATGAGCAAATTATATATTCGACTAAGACTATTATTACAATATTATCCATTGCATCAACTGATTTTTATTTACAAACGTGAATGCACGTTTAATTGTTGTTTAATACATATGTGTAAGTATTAGTCGCGAGCGCCGTGTGAGTGTATAGTTTCTCGTGAAGCGCGTGAAGAGCCGTGTCACGAGCATAATAATTGGTAATTGATAATTGAGGAAATATGCGGCAGATAAGGGAAACAATAGCGCAGCGGCGTTTTGCGCGGCCAGGGAAGTAAACGATATATTAATCCTACAAATGTATACGCTTATCTACCTCCACAATCGCGTTTTTACAGTTTACACGCGATACAGTCATTAAAAGAGAATTCGATATGTATCGTCGCGTCATTATTATACCGCCTGATCTATCGCATACCCTGTAACTCTCGTTTTATATTCGTGACAGGTGTAATTTAGAAATCGAACGGGTACTTAGTGCGGGCCTCGGGTGCGAAATATTACCCATAGGAGATCGTAAAAGAAAACGTTAAACAGCGGCAACGAGATTCCGCCCGATTTTATATGATATTTATGCGGACGTGAGTGGCAAGTAGAAAAACGTATAAACTATATGGATATAATTTTTAATTATACGAAACGGTAATAAACATTTTCGAAATGAATCAGATCTCGCGAGTGTAGTAATACGTTAAATAGTAGATAAATATTCCTTTAGTAGTATAGTTGAAAAAATTAATTACTAATTTATGAGTGTTAGTGAATGATATTACCACGCTTATAAAGTGTAATAATTATGTTATTATTCAAGACTGATGTCGTGATTTATCTGATAAACATACCAGTATAAAGCATATCAAGCGTACTACTATAAAGTAGTTACTTGTGCTTTAAGTTTAACAAAACATTATATAGAATAATGAATAATTATTTAACCAACATATGTTAATTGATATTAATATTATTATGAAACCTTTAATTATGTTATTATTTAATGCTCTACAAACACATATACCGATATAATATAAATGAAATAGTTACACAAATACATGTTAAAAGCTTTAATAATAGACAAGCTGTAATTGTCAAATCATATCACTTACTGTGAATAATTAAATTTTCTCAGAGTTATGCAATCTGAATAGATATGTAGACATTCTGTGGGTTATATTAATTATAATCATAAATATAATTTACATTAATTCAAAAATAATATATTTTTGGAAAATTATTATTTAAGGAGAATTCAATAAAATTTTAGAATTTATGTATAATATAATAATATAAGATTTTAAAATTACTGATAGATAAAAATGTGAAAGAAAATCTTCGATGTTATCTGAAACTTGATGTTATCTGACGGAATCTTATTGTCAACGAGCCTTGATCCTACATCGATTTCTTACTAATACATGATTAGGCGGGCATCTGATAGGAGTATCTATGATTTCCCGATAGATTTCCGATTCATTCCGACCTAATAGTGTCGTTCCATTCCAGTTCGATTCCAAGGTCGGTTGGATCGTTTTGGATTCGGCAGTCGAATGTTGGTAGAATAGAGAGTCGATTCCGGTTTTCATGGTACCCTTGATTGTCTGCCCGATGTTGTTCAATGTGTTTCCGATATCATTCCAGACAGAACGCTTCGCTTGGAGGCTGCTGGCTTGTGTGGCGCACGTCAAAGCGACGAGCAGCAGAAGCACGCTCAGAAAACGTTGAGGGAAATAAAATCTCATTTCTGTATCTTTCTTTGAAAGCGCGAAGAACTGTCACCTTAAACAAACATTAAACAAGTTCGATACGTTATTGTGTATTTTTGATATGGTATTACGTTAGAAAATCTATTGTCTAATATTTCAAAATATAACGTAATATTATATTTAAAAATTTAAAAGATATGAATAGATAACAATTGTTATCTATTATGTGTCTATTTATATCTTCTAAATTTTTGAATTTTGAACTATTGCAAGTCAAGAATTATCGCGATGTTTTAACATTAAAACAACGATCATTTCTCTTAGTTTATTTTCGAGTTTCAGATTCTCGAGTAATCAAGAGAAGTAGCGCGATAGTGTTGGGATAATCTGTATCTCTAATGGTTACAAACATCTGTAAACACTCTTAGTAGCGGATGAAATTGAGTAACTGTGATATAATTCATTTTATCAATTTATTTTCAAGTTCATAATATACAGAATAATACGAAAAACTTGAGTGTATTATTTTGAGTGTATTATCGTAAAATTCTTTAAGTAATATATGGCAAAGGAAAGTTATATTATATTACATTATATTATATTACATTATATTATATTATACTATATTATATTATTACACACTCTGTCAGATATTAAAGGAGCAATATAGTATAAGCGAATCTCTTGAATTAAATAACATTTTATTATTTTTAACTTCCATCATGTATGTCAAAATGTAAATCAATCTATTTCTGGAGTTAGTTTCAAAATAAATATTAATGTATGCACTTAATAACAAACTAAATTTAAGTCAAATTTAATATACTTTCTTGAATTCAATTGTTTTTTAATTCCGTTGTTTTAATTAAATTAATAACATATTGAATAAGACCAGTAGTGATTTATAGAAATAAATAAAAATAACTCAAATTGGGTATAATTTGATATTATGAATTTAACAGTGTATATTAAATTGTATTAATTAATATTAATTATATTAATTATAAATTACGATAATTAATATTAAATTATATAAAAATAAATATTACACTGAATATTATATTAAATTAAAAATGTCTGCATCTTGTAAATTTTTTATCAGAAGAGCGAATAATGTTTAAAAAATGCATTAGAAACAACTTATAATACGTCGAAAGCGCGACTAGAAATTGACCAAAAATTTATCAAATTTTTAATTATGCTTTGAAATATCTACGATAAGATGAATAATAGAAAACGTATAATGAAATTGAAAATGTACCTCCGTTTTCTATCTGTTCCAACTGCGTCTGAAAGTGGTGCGCAATCGTGGAGAGTAGGTTACGTGCCGCGGAAAACGATGAATGGGTTGTCAGAAATGAGTTGTTCGGATCACGGTAGTGGAAGGTTCTTATCGTGCGGAATGAAGTAAAATACGAGCCTGTTCAGAAACATTTATGTGCACGTGCTCAATAATGTTTCCTCGCCCCTGTCTACGCCTAGTCACGCGATTGCGCTCTCGTCTCGTCTCGCCACGAATTCTCTGTATGTAATATAATACACAACATGTATTTTCTGTGTATTATAATACAGCCGTCGAACGCACTGTGATGCGAAACCAAATGTTATTATGGCACATCGTCTGTCTTCTCACGAACAGATTTTGAGCCATAAGAGATACATCGCAAAATCGATATTGATGTCTAAGGTGTATTGTTTTTTTAAATTGTTCTTTCTCAATTAATATATTTTTTATTATTTCTTCCAGAGAAATTAGAAAAGATATTGACTATAAGATTGTTTGAAATAAAAAGTATAAATAATAAGAAGCATACAGCCACGCAAAATGTTTTAAGCGAAAGTCATACATTTACAAATTTTTAAAGTAAACATTTCGGTCAAGTCTTGACCGAAATCATCAGTACAATAAAATATAAAACGATGTTATAAAAATTAAAAAAAATATGAACAATTCTTTGTTAGTCCAGAATTGATGATAACAAAATTATGTTCGTTTATGAAACGAGTTAACAATATTTTAAGTCCAGAATTAAAGATGACTAATTTATATTCGCTTATTATAATAAATATAATATTATATATAAAACGAAATTTTATTGCGAAATAGATTCCTTATTACTTGAAGATTTGTGAAACTTCATGTGAAAAATATGGAATTTTCAGATTCAGTTAAATTTGAAAAAAAGAGAACAAAATTTTTATCTACTATTTTTTGATGTATTTGATATAATAAGAATCGATTTAAATTTAGCTCACTATTTATTTTATGTCAAAAGTCCTCGCAAGTATAATTCGTTTCGAGTTTTTAGTGTAAATTAACAAGTATTGAAAAACTTTTTGGTAAGAACTATTCTTGACAAAATGTGATGGCACAATCTTTATAAATTATGTAAAGAAAGGAGAGGGAAAAAAAGTGGAGGAGAATAGTTTATTGGAGAGTAGAGGGACTTTTTTCAATAATTGCTAGATAAATGTCAGCATTCTGTATCCCTCTGTTTATTCAAACTCATTTTTTGTCTTTTGATATGAGTTATCACGGAGATTATCCTTTTATGATATGATTGTTTGGAATCTAAAATTATTATGTTCTCCCAATCAATCCTATGATCGTAATCTAATGTCTCGTATCTTGTGATGAGAGATAACAAATATAGCAATAATTGATTTTTTTATGTCATTATTATGGTCTTTTTTTAAAACGAGTTTTTAATTTCCTTTTTGTCTGTCCTGCATATGAAGAGTTGCAGAGGAGACTATTTATTTTATACACACCATTTGAGTGATCTTCTTTTTTAATTTTGATCTTAATTTTAATCTTTGCCTGTTTTAAAAAAGTATTCATAGGTTTGTGGGCAATATTGAAATCAAATTTTTGTGTAAGTTTTTCAAATTTGTTTGAAATAAAGTTAGAAAAAATACTTTTAATAATTGATGAGTTTCTGTGAAATGTGTGTGGCACTTAATGCATGTGCATTTAAAGAATCTAAAATTTTCCGTAATAAGAAATAATCTTATTCAAATACCGTTTAATATTTTAACACGCCGATAAGTATGTAAAATCAGCTTAGAACAGCAATTCTTATTATTTATTATTATTATATGTTCGACTGTTTTCAAGAGGATATAAAATTGTTATTATTTATTACTGAAGAATTATTATCACTGAGGAAGACTTTGTATGTTGAAATATTTGAAAGTTATATTAATGTACTTATATAATTAAAATGAAATTCATCTTATGAATTAAACTGTAATTGCGTTATAAGCCTTGATATCAATTATATTGCAATTATACGAGCCTATTTATTTTTTATTTTATACCGTTTAAAATAATAAATAATTTAACAAATTCAAATTCACGTTACGTTGAAATATGCTTTTTATTAAACTTATGTATAAAAATAAAACTTGCAACAAAATTTAATAATACATATAAACATCAAGATAGTTTCAAATTTATTTGCATGAAATGAACTATGCAATGACTACAAAGTGTAACCGATATTTTTGCATTTTCTGAGAGACTTTATGTTTCCTTCTTCTCTTTTCGTTATTCGATATCGAGAATCGATCTAAAAGTAATGAATGCTATGGAGAATTTCTCGTTTTGCTCTGAGCAGTTTACTTTTTTAATCACGGCGCTGTTACAGTAATAGTAATTACAGCGTAGCGAGATATCGATCAAGCTTACGTGCCGAGTATTTTCAAAGAAGAAATCAATACTAGAACAATTTTTGACAAATTTGTAGTTGACCACTTTTTGATATAATTTTAATTAATAACAAAAGAATTAAATAAATATCGATTCAAAAAATATTTTATTAAATTTTAGGAGAGTTTAATGAAATCTATTTTCAAAATAAAAATAATAAAATTTTAATTTAAGTAAATAAGATTGTATTATCAAGAATTGACATTTAAATAAAAAAATTATTTAATGAGATTGACAATCTTTCTTATAGATAGTGACAAGCAATTAATTTTTTGCTTAGGAGAAATGAATTTATTAAAGAATACAGTGATGGGATCCATTAGTTCTATTTCTTCATAGCTGTGAAGATAGCTTCAGATTCTTCTATACGAAAATGTTAGATAAATGAAGATAAGAAAGTTGAAAGAGAGAGAACTATACATCAAACGTACGTACGTGAGAAAGGATTCCCTACCTGGTTGCGTTTTTGCACTTTGTATGCCAACGACGTTTTATATCTTGCCGGTACCTATGCTGTAAAACCCCGTAGTACCTGCTCACAATGTAATAAACTCACTTCCAGGACGAATAACGAACGTTATTCACAGGGGATGCGCAGCCGTGGCGAAGGCTTTCTTTTGACCGACGGCAAGACGTAAATGCGAGAGCTTTCCCGAGTCCCGTGTACATCTTGCCGACGAGAACGTATCGTTTTTTAACGGGCGTGTCAAAGGGGCGTTTGTTTTATCTAAACGTATGTATGTGAATCACTGACGCGATAGACGCTATCGCACTTTTGCTTTCCCGCCCCGTTTCCCATGCTTTCCATTATTAATCTGGATTTCTCATTATTAATTCGAGTGGTAAATTCCGACTATCTTCTCGCCTTTCCACGACAGACATGCGCGTATATATAGTGTTATAATTAAGACTTGGAATCTCCTGGTGTGCTCTTACATAGCACAAGACTCTTTAATCAATCTAGAATTACTTTTACATAAACGGGAAAGTTTCAATATCATTGCCTAATAATAACTTTTACGATACGAATGAATGATAGAATAGCTTATTCACTTCTCAAGCAATTTTAAACAAGTGTTTACAAATTTTATATTTTACGAAAGTTGTTTTTGCTACTTTTAGATATATTCAGAATTGGATGTTCACTGTTACAAAAATTATTCAGTGGAATAAACATTGCGCTGAAAAAGTCATTCACGTAAATTGACTAAAAAATCTATAGACGAAGCAGAAATTTGTACTTTCAATGAATTTTTTTTTTTACTCATGCGCACATGTTTCCTATTAAACTAACTTTCATGCATAAAAAAATCTAAATTATTTGGTATAGTGATCAAAGGATTCAGGCCGTTCGTTAAACCGAGTTACTTAACCAACATGTGTGCGATGTACGTTTTTATTATTGGATATCTCTCCCGTTTTTGCTGGCTGTAATCTGACACGACTACAGGTCTCATGTGTATTACAAAATCCGTGTACAGGAACAACATGTACCCGCATATTGAAAAGCAACTAAAGCCGTGCTGGTAACTACACGTCAGTAATAACTGCGTTACACTAACCGTGCGCAACGCGCGTTTGTATACACACGTATCGGATTTCGCGTATATACGTATAATTTAAGCATCCGATATCATCGAAATCCGTGTGAACATTTTTTTCTAGAAGATCTTATTAAGTTAAGGCAATAAGGATTGTTCATGATGAAGTCGTTAAAAGTCATTTATGTAAAATATTACAGTATGTAAACGATATGTGCACACGTGTCACCTATCAACAAGGGGCGATAAAAGTGGCATAGCTGATTACACGCGAAGTAACGAGCTTCAAATGTGACTGTGTAATGCGGAAATGTCATGGGAAAAATCCAACAAAGTAAACGTTTACAACTTGGTTCAGTATAGATCTGATATATTTAATATATTAGATATATTAATAAAATGTGACGTTCAATATTGTTCATGTTAAAGCAATAACACATAAAGCTTCTACTCGTCATCAAGAAGAAGTCGCATCAGTGAATATTGCAAAGCGTTGCAAAAGTTCTGTGCGGCGAACGAAGATCCAATAAATAATTCGAGTTCAGCCTTCCGTGAAAGTTTCTCAAAATGTTTTCGTAAACATCTATTCGATACGTAAAATATATTCGTGCGTATTATTTTTTCCGTAGGGAATTTGTCATGCGTTAGATATATAAATAATTTTTTTCTTGTTCGGACTTGTTTTATTTATTATGTTTTCATAAATAAATATATATAAAGTTATATAAAAA